CGTGTCCCATTTTCATCACTGTGGCGTGGCCTTCACGAGCATGTGACCCACGCTTGGGTTAATGAACTCTGCTGTCATCATCTTGAAAGTCTTCATTTTTGACCAAGTGATCCCATATTTTAATTTTGCTGGGTCTGGCAGATCATGTTAGCCAACACTGGGATCAATCAATATGAAGGGGATTCAAAAAGTTTGTGTGAAAAAATGAATTTAAAAGATAATGGAATTTTTTCCCATGAACTTTTTGAAGCAAGCCCAGTCGCATTTTGCACCCCCATTCTTGGTCTTTGTGGGCCCTTCTTCAGCTCTTTAACAAGACCTACCTATGGTGGAGGATTTGAAGAATGCACTCTACCCCATTCCTGCTACCTGCCACATTGGGCTGTTACTGTTTACTGGCCATTGTCCCCTCCCAGTTCTCCACCGCACCTCTTGTTGGCAGTGACCCGGTCTGGGCTTGCAGTGGTCACATGTGCCCTCAGCACTTGCCCAGGTGAACATTGCAGGAACCACCTGGGTGGAGGAGCCATCTCTCAGGGGCTCTTGTTTGAGGCTGTGAAAAGCATTGGGTTTGGTGGGGGTGGCAGGTAGAGTGTGCACAATTGACCTGACCCACCCCCACCCCCAGGAGCTATGCTTGTGTTAGGACCACAAAATGAATACATATTTTAAAAAAATAAAAAGCATTTGTTCTTGTTTATAAAAGGTCGAGTTGGCTCTTTAACCAATTAGTTAAGAAAGAATTAAGTTTCACAATGGTGTGACTCACGTCTGCACTCACAGCTCCTACTGATGGCCCCTGGCACAAACAGGACATTTGTTAAGCAGTTCTTCTGGTGTCTGGCCACCTGCTAGGCTGATTACGGAGAAGGACAGTCCCTGACCTCTAGGAGGATCGGATGCTTAATACTTGATTAAATGATTCATGCGGCCACTGCCCTCAGCCGCCCAGGATGCTCAGAGCTGGGTGCCTGAAGGCCCCTTTGCTTCCCGGGGAGGGATCTTGAACTAGATTTGCAGTGTGTGGGGCAGAAGGGACAGTCCAAGAATGGAGGTGCTCGCATATCATGCTTAGGAACTTGAAACTAGGAATGTGTTCTAGGCTGGAGTTTGTGCTTCATAGGTGAACCGGATACATTATCCCTTTCTGCAGAGACAGAAGCCTTGATACCTCTGGGTCAAAGTGTCAGGTCCTTGAACTCCAAGTCAGTACCTGAGCCCTATAGTCCAAGCAGCCTCCTAACCACATCTGGCCCCGCCATTGGGAGACAAAAGCTGGCTTGAAGTGACTTGAGGTGACAGTGACCCACTGTTGGGAATGGACAGGAAAGGTCAAATGTGACATCTTTAAGGACAACATTTCCGTTTTGAAACAAGCAGTGGTGGTTCATATTTATAATGGCGCCTCTGCTCCCCCTGGGGAGAGGACTTGCTCTCAGAATGAGGTTTTCAGGAAATGCAGGAGCCGCCATTCCACTCTCCTTCCTGAAGTCTGGCTTCTTCGGAATCTCCAATGCCTTCTGGTTGGTATCCCTGAGACGGCTGAATAGGAGTAGGAGGCTCCTCATGAGACCTTACTGATCCTGTGTAGATTTGGCTTGGATGGAGGGAGTTGCTGAAAAAGCTCCTTATACAAACAGTAATTCCAGTTGTTAGACCAGAGAAAGTAACCACATTCAGGTATTTTTAAATGGCCAGTGGAATTTTGAGAGAGTCTAAACCCAAAGTACAAGTTTGCAGTTTAATTTTAACTTTGCACTTTGCTCACACCCAGGACTTGGCAGGGGAGATGGGCCTTCGATTTTTGGGAGGGCAGGGGTTCCTTTTTAAGCAGAACACACCCTGGCTGTAAAAAGGATGCGCTCTTCGCATTGAAGAGTTTTGGAGAAGTGGCCTGCCCAGTACAGAGGAGAGGAAGTGGGTTGGAATTGCAGCCGTTTAGAGTCCAGGTGGGTTGGAGGCTTTGAAACATGGAGCTCTGAGAACAGATGCCGCCCTCTGTGAAGCCTGGGGGATGGACTCTTGTGCTGGTGTTCCTGTTTTGTCTTGTGTGATGTGTTTCCAACTCCCAGGCAGTCCCCCATGTAATGCACCACCCTGCCTTGCTCTGCCCAAGAAGCCACGTGGCTTTGGCGACATCAGCAACCTCCAACTCTGAGCCTTGGCCCCACCCCCACCCCCACCCCCAAACAGTGCTGAAAGTCGGCCAGGAAGGAAATGCAGAAACAGTGGAGACTCCAGAGACTACCCCCCCCTCCCCCAACACACACACACAGAGCCCATACCGTTAACAGCCACCTGGTAGGTCAGAAACCACAGAGTTTCCCAAGTGCCTGGAGGAAAGAACCCATGAGGTCTTTCCCAGGCCCTGCTCCAGATTGGTGGTGGCCTCCTCATGGGAGCAAGGTTTTGTTCTTTGGTTACTGAGGCAGTGTAACCGGGGTGGGGTCTGCTGTGGGTAGAACAGTTGGAAGAGAGACTGGAGCGGCAGTAGCAAGGGTCTAGGGGACTTGTAGTTGGATCTGGGAGTGCTTGAGTCCTCCCATTTTGGGGAATGTTGAGAAGCCATTTGGGCACCTTCCTCACCTTAGGTTGGTCAAAGAGCGACTCCGTTCAGTTCAATGAACTCTTGGGATTTTTTTCAATGGGGAGAGTTCTCCTTGGGAGGGTGGTGAGGATCAAATGTGATAGATATTCTGCATGTGAAAGACTGAGAACTGGACTCTTCTTAATAAACATATAATTAGGAATGGTTTTTTATTGTACCCAAGAGGTGTGGGCTCCACGTTAAATGTGGTGGTGTGTGTAGGTTGCTGGGGACTGGCCTGGTCTGTCTGTAGAATTCCTCGGCTGTCTGCTCCCAGTAGCGTCCTCAACGCCATCATGGGTGGCAGGCCACATTGTGCCCCTTTAGGAAAGAGGTCAACTTCCAGGCAACTCCCTGGACTCCCCAGCAGCCTTTGTCTCCTTGGCTAAGGAAGTAAGGAGAAGGCCTTGACTAGTTTAGAAAAGCCACATCTGAAATCTTTTGAAGAGGGTGGACTGGAATCCCTTCTCATATTTTTGTCTTTCTTTGGTGGAGTTTAAAGAATTCCCAGGGCCTTCCAAGGAAACCGATTGCTAAAGAAACCTGTAGACCTTGTGACTCTAGTGTTTACTGCAAATGAAGGCGATGGGTCCCCTCCCCCAGGGCTGTTACTCCCCCTACTTTTTGCTCTGGTCCCATAAGGCCTTGCTTCCTGACTCTACACTGCTCCCCTGCCTGTTTTTCACAGGTATTGGTTCCGGTGATTAGAAGCCATTTGGCTTCTGCTGGGGGTTGAAGGGGTGGAAGGGAGAGCCAATGGCATGGGGGATTGTGGGTGGCCCGTGCCTAGGCTGAGAGCTGAGCTCCAGGGAAAAGCTGCCTGCCGTGCTCTGGGCCAGTTGCTGCTGTTCTGGTGAAGTGATCAATACGCCTCCATCCACTAGGGAAAGATGAAAGCAGGGCTGTCTCGGCCCTGAGACCCAGATGTGCCCCTACTCTGCCCATGGGCAAAGTGGACCAAGTGGGACCGTACAGTGTGCTTGTGGATCTGTCTCGTCTCCAAGTCAACTTCAGGAAGTGTTTGTGGTGGGCAGGTGGAGGTACTGTGTTCTGGCTGAAGTGACTGGGCCAGGCATTGTAGGGGGTCTCAAGCACTAGGTTCAGCTAGGAGGTAGGGGGGTCACCCTTAAGGCACCTACCGAAACTAGGCTGCTGGGAAAAGCAGCTGGACTGCCCTAGGGCAGGAGTGGGTATCTGGGCTGTCCCTTATCTCCCTTGCTGGCTCCCCTGGGACACACTTCGTTTTTCTCTCTCAACTTGTCTGTCTTCCGTCTTTTCTGAAGTCTGGAACTTTACCTTTAACGCTCTTGTATAAGACAAGTCTGCCTTGTAAGAACTGCAAGGCAAAGTCACTTTCTATTAGTTGTTTCCACCTCCTTAAAAATAAAGGATTTCGGATCCAAATTTTGGGTAAGAAGAAAAGAGGCCAAAGGACAAACCTGCCTCCAGGGAGTTGGGGGAGGGGAAGAAGGGACAGAGGTGCCTCCAAAGACAGACTTTTGGACTGTGCCAACCTCAGTGTTTAATGATGGGCCCGTCCTGGGTTTATGATTTCTCTTTTCTCCTCCCACATCTACACCCAGAACCCTTAAAAACAATCCACAACCATGCCATCCAATAAGGTAGCTGTATATGGCTCTTTATATGTACATTAAAATTAAATTGTGTTTACAAGTCAGTCCTCAGTTACTCGCCATACTTCACGTGCTCAGTATAGCCACATGGCTGCTCTATTGGGTGGCACTGGTGTAGAGTGTCCTTCTGTCCCCGCCATGGGACAAACTTAACTGAATGACCACGATACCAAATGCCAGCGCCAAGTGGCCAGAGTAGGTATGTGTGTGTTGGGAACCATCGGCAAGTGACCTCCTAGGCTCATGGGGGATGAAAGGAGGGAGGGGCTGAGGTAGCATCCAGGTCTGAGTGGTGATGAACCATTCACATGGGGAGATTCGATACTGTGATTTTCAGCTCAGTGGGCCCCAAGCAACATTATAGCTGCTGCAGTCAGGGGCTATGGGGTGGGTGGACTAGGTGTTTTATTTTTAATGGGATTTGGGGAGACAGTATGGCAGCAGGGTTAAAATGAGATCATTGTCACCCACCTACCAGTGGCAGCAGGGGCCCACTAGATTTGTCCAGCAAAGGTCCCTGTTGGAAGAGGCTCCCTGGTTTTGCAGCCCTGCTCTCTCCTCGGTCATGCTAAAGGCAGACCAGGGTGGGTGAATCCATCCTTTGATCATTGCAGTTCAGTGGTCCGGAAGAGCCAGAAGAACTGATGTGTTTCAATCCAGTGTAATTTGGAAGGTTTCCCAGTCCGTCTCTTTCTCCTCCCAGAAAGCCCTGTAACAACTTTCTCTGGCTGCAGCCCCCGTTCCTGCATCCATTCATTCTTCCCTCCTTCCCTTTCCAGGTGAAAGAGCTTGTCCTGGACAACTGTCGGTCGAATGAAGGCAAAATCGTAGGCCTCACAGATGAATTTGAAGAACTGGCGTTCTTAAGTACAATCAACGTTGGCCTCACCTCAGTCGCAAACCTACCAAACTTAAACAAACTTAAGAAGGTAAACACAAGTGGTGAAGAAAGAGAGAGCACATGTATAAAGGAGGGTGAGGGTGAGGAAGGAGGGACTGGGTTATTACCTGCTGTTGAGGGAGCTAATTGCAGGTAGAGCCAGTGCATGCAGCAGCTTGCTGGATAATGCCCTGAGTCTATTCGCCTTTCCTCACTCTAGCCCAGGTATCTCTGAGCTGAACCTTCATTGTTTCTGCTTCTTGTCTCTCTGCCTATTGTTTAGCTTGAACTAAGCGATAACAGAATCTCAGGGGGCCTGGAAGTATTGGCAGAAAAGTGTCCGAACCTCACGCATCTAAATTTAAGTGGCAACAAAATTAAAGACCTCAGCACAATAGAGCCACTGGTAAGTCATTCGGATCCTTCTTCTCTGAACTGGGTGAGTTGTGGGGAGGAATTGGTACCAGGGAATGCTGTTTCTCTTACTTGATTTGATTCTCGTTCTATGAAGGAACCCGTTGGGCTGTTAACCATAAGGTCAGCAGTTCAAATCTGCCAGCTGCTGCTCCTCGGAAAAAAAGCTAAGGCTTTCTGTTCCCATAAAGATTTACTGCCTTGGAAACCCTATACAGGTTGCTATGAGTCAGAACCAACTCCACGGCACACCATCACCATTATCATTCTGTGAGCGAACCCTAGACAGAATCATGGAAGTTGAATGGCATGACCAAGTCCAATAGCCAGAGTGAGCAGTCAAGGGTGAGGACCCTGGTCTCAGTTTCTGGCCTGAAGCTTTTTCCTTTCACAGTTTCTGCTTGGCTTTGGGAACCTGAAGCTGCAGTGTTTTCAGACTTTGTAGCATAAACTTGTGTCCCTCCTCAGAGGGTAAAGTAGGAACCACAGTCAAGGATTAATCTAAGTGTGGCACTGTGGGTTAATACTCTGGACTGGAAGGTTGGTTTGAACCACAAGGTTGGAGGTTCAAGCTCACCAGCCGCTTCTTGGAAACCCTATACGGGGTCGCTGTGAGTCGGAACCGACTCGACGGCATTTAACAAACACCAACACATCTCCTTGGGTAACTGACCAGAAGCTAGTGACTCTGAAGGATGGGAGTAGCCCTGTCCCAGCAGTCTGGATGACAAGGGCCTGGGGTAGCGGTCACCTGTGTGCTGCAAGAGCCTCTTGTGGATGGCCCTCTACGTGACACGGCAAGGAACCACCTTTGGTGAGACTGGATCAGGGCTGCAGAGAGCCGGCAGTGTTACCGACTCCTCAGGCCCTCAGCTGGAAAGGGAAAAGTTCTGGTCAGAATAACCGGTTATTTCTACATGACCAGGATCTGAGTCACTGTTTCCTTGATTTCAAGTACAGCCTTTTTTGCTGTTTTGTTTGTTTGAATTAGATGTTGACATTAATAAACATGTTTCACCACACTGTGTTGTAATTATAAGGAGCCCTGGTGGTGCAGTGGGTTGAGTGTTACTGGGCTGCTAACTGCATGGTCCATGGTTCAAACCCACTAGCTGCTCCATAGGAGAAAGATGAGACTGTCTACTCCCATCAAGATTTCGTTTTGGAAGCCCTATGGAACACCCAGCCCTGTCCTTATAGGGTCCTCTGAGTCAGAATCAACTTGGTGGCGCAGTGGGCTTTATTATAAAACATACACACGAATCAGCTCATAAAGCATGCGTCTTAGAATCACAGAAAGATAGGACATTTTAAGAACTCTGCCTGGGCTTCCCTTTCATGGGTGTGTAGGGTGGAGGCTTAGAGGTACCCTTTCCGTCTGGTATGAGTTTGGTTTGCCAGGATTATTATCCCAAACATACTCCTTGCTCTCAGTAGAAACCCAAGGGGCTGGCTGATGGGGCCAGGGTGGCAGGACACCTGGAAGCTAACATCTCTCCTGTGTGTGGAGCTAGTTAATATAAGTATGTGCTTCCCATGGAACTGCTCTTCAGAAGTTGTAAAATGTTCTGACTCAGTCACCACTGAAGATTAGAGAGCCTTCTCTGTCCCCACCCTGCATATATGTTGTAGTCGTTCCTCTTTGCTGGTTATCTTGGTGAAGTGTTAGGCTTACTTCATGGGCTGGTGGGGCTAAGTGCTGTCAAGTCAGTTCTAACTCATAGTGACCTTGTATAGGGTTTCCCAGGAGCAGCTGGTGGGTTTGAACCACCGACCTTTTGGTCAGCAGTCTAGTGCTTATCCTACAGGGCCATGCCAGAACTCCACCTCCTGGGGTAGTAAATGGCTTTTTTGTTGGGGTGTTAACTCCTGACCTCTGTGCTGAGAATGAACCAAGTCTCCCTTAGGAGATTGATTAGAGAGCTACTTGACTCCCAGCATTGACCTCAAACGCCAGTGGCTTTCCTCTCCCATGAGGTGCGGTCTAGTCAGAGTGGGGTTCAGCCTGGGACTAGGTTCATGTAGACACAGTGTGGGAGAAGGTCAAATTGCAATTGTTACTCGCTGTGTGGGCCTTTCACTTTTGGGGCCTCAATTTCCTCAGTCATCAAACAGA